AATAATAATGATAATAATAATAATAATAACAATAATAATAATAATAATAATAATAATAGTAGTAGTAGTAGTAGTAATAATAATAATAATAATAATAATAATAATAACAATAATGATAATAATAATAATAATAATAATCATAATATTGATAATTATTATTATTATTATTATTATTATTATTATTATAATGATAATAATAACAATAATAATAATAATATTAATGATAACAATAATAATAATAATAAAAATAACAATGATGATGATAATGATGATACTGAAAATAATTGAAATATTAATAGTGATGAAAATGATAATAATTAAAGCAATAATAATGATGATAATGATAATCATTATAATAACTATTGTAATAATTATTACTGATAATGATAAAGGTAATTATAAAGGTATAATAATAATAATAACAATAATAATGATAGTAATAATAATAATAATAATAATAATGATAATAATAATAATAAAAATAATAATAATAATAGTAGTAGTAGTAGTAATAATAATAATAATAATAATAACAATAATAATAATAATAATAATAATAATAGTAATAATAATTATTATTATTATAATAATAATAATAATTATCATTATTATTAGCATAATAATAATAATAATAATAATAATAATAATAATAATAATAATAATAATAATAACAATAATAATAATAATGATAGTAATAATAATAATAATAATAATAATAATAATAATAATAATAATGACAACAATAATAATGATAATAATAATAACAATAATAGTAATAACAATAATACTAATGGTAATAATAATGATAATAACAACAATAATAACCATAACAATATTAATCATAATGATAATAACATTAGTAATAATAATAATAATAATGAAACAACCAAAATAATTATAACCATAATGATAGTGACAGTAATGATGATAAAAAATAAACAATAATATTGATAATAATAATGATAATTTTATTATTATCATTATAATAATAAAAAGATAGTAACAATAATGATAACGACAAAAACAACAATGATAATGATGATTGTAATAATCACGGAAACTACGATTATTTTTCAGTTAAAAAAATACCAAATTGGAAAGCCTCAGTTTAAGAAATTAGATACCATGCATGGCAGAACAGGAACTCATCTCAGCAACATATTTATTATATGGGATGGAGAAACTACTGTATTAGAAATGTGGAGTCTTTGATGATGAGTAATAAAATGGTTGCCTAGACAGCAGAAAAAGTTAGACAAGTTAGAAAGTTAGAAAGTTAGAAAATTGAGAAAGACTTGGACTATACATTGGGCATTACACCCAAAGAGCGACGTTAATAGGATTTATGTGTCAAGAGAGAGAGGCGGCAGGGTGCTGATAAGAAATGTATAAAGAGCGAAGAAAACAACTTAGGGCGGTATGTAAATAATTCAAATAAGAAGTTCATTGCTGGTTTAAAAAAAAAATACAGATGTATATGAGACTGAAAGCACAAAAGACATGGTTGAATTTAAGAGAGAACTGAGGAATTGCAATCTCAGGCATTGGGAGGAAAGGAGAATGAATGGCCAATTTACGAGTGAAATACCAGACACAACAAACACAGAGAAAATTAGGAACAGTTAAGGAAATTAGACCTGAAAGTGGAAGCGGAAGCGTTGACATGTGCAGCCCAGGAGCAGGCACATTGGACGAATTAAAGTATAATATTGACAAACAAGCATACATGGTGAAAGAAGCGAAAGCGTTGGACATATCATTTGCAAACATAAGAAATAGGCTCAAAAATGCAGAAAAAAATGGCATGACAACATTACCCAGAATATATATTAGAAACTTTGCGAAAAATAAAAATTAGAGAGAGCAGAGAGAGAGAGAGAGAAGAAAAAAATGTATGATGAACATACCCCCAAAGTGTACTCGTAAGTAAAATGAGGAATGTGTGTCATGGGACGCAAGTAATCAGCGGGACCACATAATCGAAGCAAGACGACCAGGCATTGTTGTA